ATGAAATAATAGTATTCTTCCCTTAAGTATTCAGTTTGATACTAACATACAGAGGAACGAACCCCTTCGAAACCCACATATAAGATTTCAACAAACCACTATAGATACTGTATATAGTATTTCCAGCATTACTTTTGAATATAGGTTGGTGCAACAATAATAATAGTTCAGGAATAGGTAACTCATGTCTTATTTTCAGTAAATATTGATGGGATACACTCTATTCAGTCAACTTAACGCCGCTGGAACTTTGGAATGGATGCACCCGCTTTTCTGTGTCATGAAGTAAAATCTCTCGTTATCTTTTTCTTCAATACACTTCCCATTTGATCAAACAGTGATCATAGCGTCATGAATCTGCCAACAAGTCCACATTAACTCCCCGCAGAGCACCTACCGCCCACTCAGGGAACTTCGATTTATCGCCTCCATAGATATCAGAGAAGAACTTGCGAAGGAAAGCCGGGTATTGGTCTTCAATAATGGCTTGTCGGATTTTGCCCATCAAAGTCAACATATAATGGACATTGTGGATGGTCAAACTGTAGAATTATTAGAACCGAAGCAAGATATTATGGCTAGTGCTCACTTACAGATGAGCGCCGACGGTCTCTTTGGCTGTAATGTGGTGCATGTATGCTCGTGTGAGCCCAAGACCACCTTGGTCAGTTGGACGACAGCAAGTGCAGGTACAGCCCTCCTCAACTGGACCGAAGTCTTCGGCGAACGATTTATGGCTTAGCTTCAGTGTTCCAGAGGAGACGATAGCGTCACCAAAACGCTAGCTGGGGTCAGTGCAAGAACGAAACTAGAGGGTTTGTTGAGTCATACCGCTGTCCGTGTCGGCCAGACACAATCAAACATATCTGCACCGAGAGCCACTGCTACAACAATATCCTCGGGGTATCCCTATTTTTTTGTGATCAGTTAAGGCAAAAAAACCAATTTGGTAAGACATACCACGCCCATCACGTATCTGGGTTTATGTTCCGGGAGAATTTCAGTACATGTATCCACTCTTTGGTCCGTCAGTTTCTTTGGTACTTCTTTTTGGCGAGAGTAGAAGCACATACACTTTGCAGAACTCCTCCTTCGCCTCACCACCAGATAGACCTCCAATGGCAATTCCTGGAGTATCTCGTGCTACCATCTCCTCACAGCACTGCTTTCGCAATTCGAGATCCAGACCACCTTGGATGATACAAAAGAGGTTTTGTCGCTCGGGATATTTATGCTCCTCAATGCACCGATCTAGCCATCGTACAGACCGATCCATAGCCTCCTTGATGCGAGCATGATCTGGCGAAGTGGTTGCAATCACATCGTCTAATTGCATAATAATATCGGATCCGATGGAATTTTGGAGAGAAATGGAGTGTTCGGGAGTCAGTAGCCTGGTAAAAGTCAGCATTTTGGATGCTCGGCTACAAGGTTTATTGCGAAGCCACCTACATTGGGGAGCCATCGTGCGGGCTAAGGAATCGCACTCCTTCCTCTGTGACCGTCGCCAACTCAAGAAGCGACACCATCTGGAAACTGAGTGACAAAAATACCCGGTTAGTAACATACTATCGATGTGCGACAGGAGAATAGTATATCTTACCCCCCACTATCGGTTAAGAGATTCCGATCCCAGCCTTGTAACTTGTGCGCTCCGCCGACTGCATCTAGTACCGCCTGACCAGGCTTCAGACCCAAGTGATATGTATTATTCAAGCACAGCATGCATCCTGTCTCTCGCAGCTGGTCGTATGTTAAGCCCTTGAGAGAGGCCTGTGTCGCGACGGGCATGAAGATCGGCAGAGGCACGGAGCCATGGGGCAGGTGGAGGGTACTCGCACGGGCCTTAGTTGTCTATTTATACCATAACACATAACACGTATCAGATATATGTTACAATAAGTTTTCAATGGCTGTCATGCCACAAGGACGTACCGAGCATTTGGCGTGACGATCGAAGGTTAATGCGGAGGGCATCGATTTGTGGGTGGGGGCGGTAGTGGTCGACATAGTTGCGATTGATATGGATGGACTCGAATATGATGTTTTACCGAGGCGCCTGGCTAGCAAACGTTGGCATAGCATGGGGAGGGGTGATTTGAGTGTTTGCGATGCGATCAGGAACACTTTTATCTGATAAGCTGTTTGTCTGGTTTGCACTCTGAGGCTCAGTTTTGCTTTTATACAACACCTGGCAACCCGCCCTCTATAAATACTTAATTTGGATATATTTGAAATTATTTGTGTATGTGAAGTCCTGAAATGCTCGATGGTTTCATGTTGAGGGTATTTTCGCCTCAGTTGAGACTCGATATTACCAATGAATCATGTTGCTCCCCAAAAAAACTAATCAATGCCTGCAAACTACTTGCAAAAAATATTATTAAATATTTGAAATGTTAATGATAGCCTTGTCGCTACCTATACTCTTTGTGTTGACCCCTTTTTGACATCCCCGATGTCCCTGGGATCTAGATGTGGAGATCCGGGGAAACCCCCGATCTAGGGGAAAACAAGAGACGGCAACCAAATCTCACCTAAACATGTATGAAGTGTGGATTTAGACTGGGAGACTAACACATTTCAAACACCAGATCTATTCCCGGAATTAGATATCCCCAATACCCCAATGCCGGTGAGGTGTCGGAGGAATGCCGAGTCGCCCTAGTGCGGGGGACAAAGCCCCCGGGGAAGCTAAATCACACAGGGGAAAAAAAGAAAGCGAAAAAAAGGACTGTGGTCCTTTCTGCTTTTCTTGTTCCTGACACAACTCTTTTGTGTATTTCCAAGGTTGCTTGGCAAAACCTTGTAAATATGGCAACGGAAAAATACATGCAAGATGTTGAACAAGCTTCAGAGGTATGTTTCTCTCCTTCCCCCTTGTGATAGAACTTACCAGTGTTGCGGTGTGCGAGCTTAAGAGGACTGACGGTAGCGCAGCTTGCCAGCCCCGACGTTGTCGACGATGCTCTCAACGCACGCGAAAAGGCCTTGGTCTGGAAACAAGATCTACGTATCGTTCCCTTGTGCGCTGCAATTTACTTGCTTTGTTATCTCGATCGCTCTAACATCGGTATATTTCCCGTCCTCAATGTCGGATAGAATTGAAGCTAAAGCATCTAGGAAATGCCAAAATTTTGAATTCGGATACTCACAATGATCTTCTCTCGGAAACTAATATGACTTCGTATCAGTTCACGTGAGTCGCAGCTTTTAATTAACCACGACAATTTAAAGCGCTGACTTACAAAAAGGATTGCACTCATGGTATTCCTGATAGCTTATGCACTGTTCGAAGTCCCATCAAACTACTTCCTGAAGAAGCTCCGTCCTAGTGTATGTCTAAACCAATCCATACACATCACCCATTCCCAACCATTACAATTCCACTAACAAACACCAGCGCTGGATCGCTTTCCTCATGCTCTCCTGGGGTGCAACAACAATGGGTCTCGGCGGCGTCCACAACTACGCTCAAGTAACAGGACTCCGATTCCTCCTTGGCGTAATGGAAGCTGGCCTCTTCCCCGGCTTCGTATACTACCTTACATTCTGGTATCGCAACTCCGAGCGATCCATTCGTGTGGCTTTGATTCTCGCCTCGGCAACACTAGCTGGCGCATTCGGTGGTGCTATTGCCTTTGGCGTGGGACATATGAATGGCGTTCATGGACTTTCTGCTTGGAGGTGGCTGTTTATCATTGAGGGCGCCCCATCGTGCGCATCCGCCGTTTTGGTCTGGTTCGTGTTGCCAGATTACCCGGAGACTGCTAACTGGCTTACCGCCGAGGAGAAGGAGCTTGCTGCGCAGAGATTGGTCTTGGAAGGATCTAAGGGTTCTGCTCAAGCTATGTCTTGGGAGGATGCTAAGGCTACGCTGACGGATTGGAGATTATATGCTCATTATGCGGTATGTTGTCTGTGCCTTTTTCTCTTGTCAAATTTCTGCAAGACTAATTAGCTAAAAGGTATACTTCGGCATCTCAACACCATTCTCAAGTCTTTCCCTTTTCACGCCTGCCATCACTGCTGGTCTGGGATACTCTGATCTCCGTGCTCAGCTGATGACCGTGCCTCCTTACGCGGTGGCCTATGTTGTGACTATAGCAGTGGCCTGGTCTGCCGACTACTTCAACAGGTAAATTCTCTTGTATTTTGAAGCATACCAAATCACTAACCTGAAACCCTTAATTTTAAGCCGTGGTCTCCATTCGGCCATATTCTCTTTCATCGGGGCAATGGGCTTCCTTGCCTCCGCTGTTCTCCCCGCTAGTGCATATCTAGTAAGTGACCCAATCATATGAAGCACCCAGTAATCCAATGAGAATCGTCATCTAATCCGAACCTCAGAGCCGCTATGGATGCCTCATAGTCGCGGCCAGTGGCGCCTTCGCCTGTATCCCACCACTACTAGGCTGGCTATCCTCCAATATCAGCTCAACAGCCGGCGCAGGACTCGCAATCGCACTCAACATCTCATTCGGTGCCCCAGGCCAGATCGTCGGTGTCTGGATCTACAAAAGCGACGAAGCAAAGATCGGATATCCAACCGGCCATTGGACAAATGCAGCATTGCTTCTATTTGTGACAGCCGGCTGCATTCTATTGAGGCTCTACTACGGGTGGCGTAATAGCCGTGGAGACGGGGCAAGAAATGGAAAGAGTTTTGCGTATTAGATCGGTAGGGCTGGAGGGTCGTGGTGAAGGTTGATAGGACTCGGCTTACGAGCTGCAAGGTGGACACGTCGTATATGAAGTTGGGACATACATCTGCGTCATAAAACAGATAGATACCTGAAGTATAGGTAATTAATTTTAATGACAAATTATGAATTCTCGATCATTTTTACTCAGTACGCAGTACGGACAGCAAATAGATAACTTCAGCTCCACATGTGCACTGTCTACATGAACAACACACGCAGTGAAGTGCAAGGTTTAGATCTGTATTCTACATGTCGGCGGAGTCTCTGGTGTCCCCTTGCATAGAATTTCAAATTTCAATCACATTCCAGATCCGCCTGGGTCCTATACATATATGACTTAATCAATAACTTACAGCTAATTAATTAATAAAAACATTCCACACCCTCTAGATCTAGCCGCACCCGCCACCCCCACCTCCACCATCTCCTCCTCCTCCACCTCCTCCACCGTCTCCGCCACCATGACCGCCACCATGTCCTCCACCCCCTCCACTATGTCCTCCTCCATACCCTCCTCCACCATCTCCGCCTCCGACAATAGGAGCACCGCTATGATATGCGCGACGCCCCCTTTGCTTTTTAGATGCTTCGTAGTTCTTGTTATGTGTGTGCTGACTGGAGGCATCATAGCCGTAGGATACAGGCCGTGGGGGCGGAGAGTCATATGCATCTCTACGCGATGAGCCAAAACACATAGTGGTATTTGGGTGGAAGGGCCTGTCTAGAGCAGGGCAGAACAGATAACAGTTTTGCTTTATATTTCTTGGGTATTTTAGAAAAATGCTTGGTTTGAGGTAGGTTGTCGATGGGTTGGCTATGGTGATGGAATAATTAATTTATATAGTCTTCCATTACCAAATCTTTGGTTTCTGCCTAGCATTGAAAATATATGGCCTCTTAAGTGGCATGGTTTTCACTTGCTGTCTCGTATAAATCGCTCGACATAGCCACCGCCCGAAAAAGGCTGAGTATAAATATGTGACCACATCAAGCAGTCTTGGCGATCACGCCTCGGGCGAGGGTTTGTATAATGTGCAATTCTAAGTGGTGATATACCAAATATAATGCTGGCTCTAATTACCGAGAAGATCTATTCTTGGATGTTTGCCTAGCACATCGAGGCCATCTGAGGTCAGCAAATGGGTTGGTTAAAATAGACAATTAAAGTTGCTAGTTATTAGAGTTCAGCGTTCCATGGTTCACTCCAAAGTAACCGACCAACATCCAACGTCGAGTCTACGGAGTACAAAGAACATTTGTAGAAATACATACTTTGCAACGACAAGTAATATTAATAATCGGGGTTTTAATACAATGTATTTGATTCATTTTAATATCGCTCATTTGGAATGCTGCCCAACTCGGCCGCTATGCATCGGAAATTAATGTTTGGCTACTCCGTAGACACATGGCCAACGCTGTGCGAGCCGCGGATGTGTAAGTTCGGGCGGGAGGCCAATGCGGCAAGAACTCGATGATCAACAACACCTCAAACGAGGGTAGACATGTACAACACCTTTTTCTAGAAAAGGACGAGTTTTTTTCCAGTCGGTGATCATGGACCATGGATTCATTAGTATGCCCGTCATTGGTCAAAAAAAAAAAAAAAATAATGAAAGGGAAAGGAAGAATTCACACATAAAAAGCTCTGTCGATAGATATTCTGTAATCGTATAATAGGAAACAAAGGAGAACAATCTGATAGAAACCAAAACCCCAACCATTACAGTCCCAAGCCCAGTGCCATCATATGTGATACCAATATAATAGATAACCCGGTCCAGTTCCGTGCCCGAACTTTCAAAATCCAACACAGCATAACAAAAAACAACAGATACCGAAGGAACTCCCTCTATCAGGTACATACACCCGATCTGAACCAAGGAAAAGATAAAACAACACAGAACATATCGAATAATGTAAATCAAATCCAAATCCAAATTCGAGACAGGTAGATGCCCGGAAAATGGAGGCTTTTGTCCCGCCTTAATCCTGTAACTCCCGCTTGTGACCTCTTGCTCCAAATCGCTTTCATCGCCACATTTGCCATATCGAATCGCATTTGAGATTAGGGCAATGCTATTTGCATCCACGGTGACACAGACACACACATGCATTTGTCCATAGCTCCAAGGGGATCGAAGCAGTAGGGGGTACTATTGCAAATGTCACCTTAGACTTGTCGGCAATGCCACAAGGTATAATTGCCATCTGAACCGCGCAGGGAGTAACGATTGGAAATTGTCCCGGGTAGGACGTCGAACCCGCTCGAGCATGACAAGTCATATGTTCTCGAAGAGACAAACAGCAGTCACTTGACACGATGCATGAGACCCGAGCCCCCTCGCCTCTCATAAAGTGGGAGTAAGCACCCGGCCTAATTTCCGATTTTGTCTCGAGGCAGACAGCGCAAGGTAAAAGCAAATCAAATGACAAAGACGACATGTATGAACCCAAATCGGGGAAGACAAAAACAATAATTGGTCCCCAAAAAGTGTGGGTGGGACGTTTTGTCTAAACGAAGATGTAGACGTACCCTCAGAAGACACGTATGTGGGAGGGGAAGAGGCGCTGAAAAGAGCCAAAAGGGAGTCCGGTTCGTGATGAATCACACGAGGCCTGACGACATCCAGACACCGTAACATGTACCTGAGTCGTCGGGATCTCGGTGTGGTGTGTCACGACTGGTGCTGAGGTTCCACAAATGCGAAACAAGGTAGTGACCTGCATTTGGAGGTGGTCATCCGGGGCAGGGATGATGCGTGGTACATTTTCTTTTTTTCATTATTTGTCCGTCATTCTAGAGTCGGGAATCATCCCACCAAGGCCCATGACATGGACTCTGTATGGTAGTGAGCCATTGTGGGCTGGACTTGGGAAAACCGGGAAGCTGTGGTTGTCGACGAGGGATAGTGCATGCATCAGCAGGACTCGGGGAGAAAAGGGTGTCGCAAGAGGTGGGAGGGAAGGAGTGCGGTGAAGGGGGTATGTTTTTTTCCTGCAGTCAAAAATGCAAGTGAGAGAGCAAGGCGACAACAAAGGGTATGGGTTTTTGTATCGGATAGGACTTGTGGATCCCCGAGGGCCCTTCACAGCAGGTGGAAAACAAACCAGAACAAGCACCCACCACACCAGGAAATGAATTGCAACAGAGTTCAGGATCAACATCAGAATCAAGAACCAAAAAAATTTGATAAAAACACAAGAAGGGAAGAGAATGCCACCCAAGACTAGTAGGAAATATTGGAAATAAAGAATACGATCAGAACCCGCCGGCTCCCCGACCATAGCCGGACGACGTTGCCTGCGGGAACAGTTGACCCTGGTAGACAGTAGCAGCCCGGGGCTGCTGATTCAGAGTCTTGAGGGCAACCTCGGCGGCGTCCTCTTTGGCATTGTTGATAAACTGACCGTCATACCAGTAACGAGCGGCGATATTCTGGCCCTGAACAGTGACGGTACTGGACCAGGCGGTACGACCTCCTGCGATTCCGAGATAAAAGTAATTAGCTTTCTGCTGCCAAAGGCTCGGAAACTAAAAGTCGGTGTACAAGTGAAAGGGGGGGCAATTTTCTGTGTCTTTTTCTGCAAGACTCCACTCCTTCCTGCAATGCCCACACACGAGACACATAGCAGTGGATAGAAGCAGGCTGTGTACGTAGGTATTGGATCGGGGAATAAGAGGGAAATTATAATTATCTGGTTCTGTAGCGAGGGAAGACAGTGGATGGAAACTGAGGGGGAGGAGAGGAAGAGGATTGGAAATCGGGTAAGTACCTCGCCGATCGGAGACAATGTTGAAGACAGGAGGAGACACCTTGGTGCGTGTGCAATGATCTGGATATGGTTAGCCGGGTATTATTGCCATTTGGGAGAAATTTGGGGCTGCTGATGCTTGTCCACGCATTCCAATGGCTTACCCTGGAGCTGGTCCTGCCAGCTAGGCCGGCTGCCAACACTATTCCCTTGAGGACTAGTAGTATACGACATTGTTGCTTCGTAAAGAGATGGGATATCGGGGGAAGCGGTTAAGCTTTGCAATTGAGGTGGTATGAAGTGGGATTGAAGGTGGGGAGGATATCAGTCCACGATGTTTGTTAATAACCCAATTGATGATAAAGATTAAAAGAGAAAAAAGAAGGCAAACTTCAAGGGGAATCCACAAGATATAAAAGAAAGAACAGAGTCAGACGAGCTCAATTGGACCCGTTTAGAATCTTTAGAGATCTTCTTAAATGTATTTTTTTTTTTCGATGACCTTCAAACGGAGACGACATGGGGAGCGGGGAGTCATATAAACAGTGGGCCATATCTTCAAGGCCAGGAAAGAAACCCCCCGTTATTTTTCATTTCTTCTTTTTTTTCTGTATTTTTTTTAATTTTGGTATTTCTTTTTTTTTTCTATAATTTTTAAGTATTTTATTTACCCCCTGGGAACAAACAGGAGCCTAACCGTCAAACCTAACGAAGGAGGGGGCTTATGCATGTCGATGTGGACATGGCACAGCGTCAGCCAAATCCCCCCCTCCATTATCCACCAGTCAAGGCTCGTAGGCAAAGAGTATGCGGATCATTTTGAGGCTGCAACCTGGAACGGCCCGGCGCACGCCGACTAAGCAAAATACAGCCCTTGAAGAAACGCTAGACAGCATGTAAGGGTTATGGAAGAGGGGCAAACCGGATGTTCCCAAGTTAGTTCCCACTCTATGACAGACAGGGAGATATTGCCTAATTCTCCTAGGATCCAGAATAAATGACACCTTTCTCGGAAGAAGGTTGAATGCGGATTGGATAGAAAAAGTGAACAACTCAGAGAACCCCACGTTGGTTTTTTTGGGGAGGGGGGCGATTTGCATGCGATTTTCATTTTGGATTTTTCTTTCTTTTTTTTCTTTTTTTTGTTTTACTCTCTCGCCTCACTTGAACAGAAGTACCTTAGGGCAAGGGAGAGAAAAAGGAAACGGAAAACATTATAATGTCCCGAGATTAGTTTGCGCATGGACTTGAACCGTATCGGCGGAACGGCGGGCTTCTGGAATAACTATGAGGGACTGCATGAGGGGGGTAGAGAGCTGTGGGTGATCTCTGCCCAAAAAGCGGAGCCTGTGGCCACAGCGTCAGTGTCATAGCTTTTATTGTTTAATTGTTTTTCGGGTGTGGAGGATGCCCGAAATGTAGATTCAGCCGAGTTGGGCATCGGAGAAGCGTTGCCAGCTCATCATGATGGATGATATCATGATTATTTTGGAGCAGTCGACTCCCACACATTGTTGACATCGGAAGTTGCTGGGCACCTTCAAAGCCACAGACCGGGCCGCCCTGCATGAACAGTTGCTGTTGGGCCCAGGATCAACATAGAAGAGGGATTTTTTTTATTTTTACAAAAGGGACAAAGCGATGGAATGAGGCAATATGGGTAGTATTGCCGGAGAAACGCCAGAAAGCCAGGAGGGTGTTGCAGAGATCTGGAACAAAGATACGGCCAAGAACCCCCTGGTTCATTTTCATGTTGTCGGCTAGTCCCGTCGGGTTAACCGCCTGATGTGCAGAGACCCCCATAGATGGAAATTCATCGACAGTTCATTTGTTATTCACAGAGATAAATTTTGAACCACCCCAGTCAGAGCGAATGGGGTGTTCAATTTGGCAGAGGAGTGTTGGGCATTCATGCAGAGTTGATAATATCCTCAACCAT